ATGTTATGAGTCCCATGTAATAGGGGATGAGCCTATTGCCATATACCATAATTCCAGACTCCGTGCTACTACTGAGATTTTTTTTTACATTTCAGTGATCACACCAAAGACTTTTGAACTAATCACGTAATCAATTCAATCCCAAAATATTAGTCGCAATAAATTTTTAAATCCAAATTAGCTAATATAAAAACTCTCAAACCTAAATCAGATCCTAACAAATTCGTTTTAATTAAAACTGCCCCAGCAACTACAATATAACTTTGAGATTCATTTGAAACATTTGCAAATGACCATGACAAATGAGTTTGTCTGTCTCTAATCTCAAAGGGCCTTTTACAACCTAGATCGAAACTGATGACGTCATGAAAACAGCCGTAAAGGCAATACCTTTTAAAAGGATATTTTGTAATGAATTACATGGTAAATAATGTTATTGTAAAGGAGTTTTAAAGGGACTGAGTATTTTCAAAATAGTTTTTGAGTAACGCTTCGCTTGTGACTTTATCTGCGGGGGTTTTGACCCTTGTTTCATTAATACATATAAAATAATAATAAAGTGATTATAGTTTAAATAAAAGTAATCGTCTTTTTACTCTATTGATTGAAAGTAAATAGATAATTATGTTATTAAACTACGACCATCCATTGAAAGATAGAAAGCAGCATCCTCTAAACGCTATAACCTAACAGCGATTACTAAGATACCCGTCGAACGTAGGGATTATAAATGGTAAATAAAACTGGGTGTAGATACATTTCTGGCAATAAAGGTAATTGATAGTTTTCTTGTTCATTCTACCAGTATAATTATGCATTTGAAAGTTACATTCGTTCGTAAAGTCCAAAGTTGTGTAATTTTGGTAACAAACGAACATCAATGTTTTCTAGATCAAAAAATTTCAGTAGTAGCACGGAGTCTGGAATTGTACCCGGTATATGGCAATAGACTCACCCCCTATTACATGGGACTCAAAACATAAATAGTGAAAAGTGGGTGTTATATTGAACAGTGGCATTAAGTGCCGTAGTGTACACCTCTGCCTACTCCTTCGGGGATATAAGGCGTGATATTATGTATATTTTTAGATCTTCATTATCACAAACACTAAAGAAAGTTCAGACATCCCTCATTCCGATCGATATTTTGTATAAAGTTTCAACAGACCATCCCAGGTGTCCATGTGAGCCGTAATGAAGAGAACGTAATCAACAAAGTTAGATTGGCTTGTTGATAATGTTGTCACAAGTGCAGCAGCTCGTTCGAGATCTTAGTGCAATTCTTGAGTCTGGCAAACTTTAATTGAGTTTTGTACTTAATTTTAAAATTGAGAACTGTAATATAAACTTATTAGTGGAGATATCATCGCCAGGTTGGGTGAAGTAAAGATGAGACTTTTTTGAAACAACATAACATCACGCTTATTATCCCCGAACGGGTAGGCAGAAGTTCACATTATACCACTGTATAATGTAACACCCACTTTTTACTTTTATGTTACGAGTCCCATGTAATAGGGGGTGAGCCTATTGCCATATACCGGGCACAATTCCTGACTCCGTGCTACGACTGAGTTTTTTTTTAACCCAGTAATAGTTTGCCCGACCCGGGAATCGAACCCGAGACCCGTTGCCCGGCAGTCGCACTTGCGACTACTCGGACAACGAGGCAGCAGTAGTATGATTAAGGGTAAAATCGATTTTGGTAATGTTTTATATTTTACTAGCGACCCACCCCGGCTTCGAACTGGTATAATATGCTTGTATTATACATAAACCTTCCTTAAGAATGACTATATCTATTAAAGAAAAGCGCATCAAAATCCGTTGCGTAGTTTTAAAGATCTAAGCATACATAGGAAAAGACAGACGGCGGATAGCGACTTTGTTTTATAGTATGTAGTGATTAAAAAAATACTAGCATTATTATAATTTTCAAATCAAGTGGTGCTTTATCATTCATTAACCATGTTCTGATTGTAAATAAGATCATAAAAACACTAGGTATTGCAACATAAATGATTTTATTTAAAATTGTAAGTACTTTTAAGACTCTTGAAATTACGCAAGATGAAAATAAATGATGTCAAGTAGTCTTTCGATTACTATTTTTATAATACAGAATTATTCGTTTATCATAATGTAGTGTTATTTTAAGAAAAGTAAATGGCAGTACAGTCCAATTTTATACAGCAACAAAAGCTTACCATTGGCCTAATGATAAGCGATAACCGTAATCTGAGTACACCTGTCCGTGTACACTTATGTGAGTCACAAAAACGTTATCGAGTGAGTCCGAAACTGTAATGATTAATAAAAAATCTTTCACATACAGAACTTTTCTTACAATCATATTAATAGATTTCTACCTAAGCATTTGTGCTAATAGAATGATTTATATTTTTCTATAACATAACATCACATGACGCCTTTTTATCTTCGAAGGGGTAGGTAGAGGTGCGCTGTACAATGTAGCACCCACTTTTCACTTTTAAGTTATGAATTCCATGTAATTGGGGGTAAATTTATTGCCATATACCGGGCACAATTGCAGACTCCGACTATTCAAATCAAATCAAATCAAATCATTTATTTGCTAATATGGGTAAATTAAGTTGTTAGCAGATAAGTAGATACAGTTCCGACCATATTACGCCTTGAGGCATGCAAATTACAAAATTTACAAAAATTACAGTTTTACAATGTTATTTGGAAAAAAATCAAGTACCTTCAAAATTCAAACTTTCAACACAATTATTGTAATATAAGATAATTTAAAATATAATGTCACCAATTTAATTAAAATTTAATGTCAATAAATGTATTTGTCAAATAAAATGTCATGAATTAGATTAAATAAAATGTCATACAAAGGAGAATGTCCAAAAATGTATCGGATTCCACACCGATTGGTTTATATATCCTATCAAATGCATGCAAAACTTACAAAATATAGAAATTTACTTAATAAAAAAATAGTGATATTTTACATTAACTTGTCCTGCAAATACTCGTTGACAGTGTAATATGCTTTTGGCACTAATAGGGCTTTGATTTTTTTTTTAAATATATTTATATCTGAAATCTCCAGTACAGACTTGGGTAGGTGATTATAGACACGTGGCGCCATGCGGAAAATACTTTTATTAAGTAATGCTGTTTTAGTGCCTGGAAAATATATATTAGATTGATATCTATTACTATTAAATTTGTTAAAGCATTGCAGGTTTTTTTTGACAAATAGTGCAACTTCTAATATATAAATGCACGGTACGGTCAGTATATTTAGTTTTATAAAATAGGGTTTACAACTATCTGTTTGCTTTATATTAGCTATAGCTCGGACACATTTTTTTTGCGCTCTAAATACAGCGTCTTTGTTAGTGGAGTTACCCCAAAAAATAACACAATACCTTAAGATAGGTGCAACATAGCCATAATAAGCCGTAAGAAGAGTTGAACTACTAACCGTCTTTCTGAGCATATACTGAGATTTTTTTAAAAACCTAATAATACTTAGCCTGACTCGGAAATCGAACCCCAGACCCCTTGTCAGTCGCACTTGAGACCACTCGGCCAACGAGGCAGTCAAATTTTTCTATAGAAATTACAATCTCAAACGATATCTCATTTGTCAAAAGCATTGGAAGAAGTGCAATGAAAGACTTAAAGAGGATTAAAATTTTATTTTTAGATTGAATGAAATTATTTCACATATCTCTACTCCACTCAAAGAGGTAGACAGAGGTATTTTTTTAAGGGGAAAATCATCGAATGACTGCTCCCGCCTGGGTGAGGCGGGAGGGAGTGTCAGACTCTTACTGACTAAAAACCACCCCGTTCCTTCTCCTGCACGTCGAGCCGGAGCCCCAGTAACCCGTTAGGTTCTTCGCGACTAGACAGAGGTATAGGAACACTTTTTATATTACCTATGTTGCGTAGCTGTGAAAATTGCGTACGAAATTATTGTCTTAAATTAAGCTATTCAGTTATCTACATTTTCATTCTTATCTTTGAGTACATGTAAATAGTTCGCCTGAACAATTTTCACAAAATCAGGCTTTATATTGAACGAAGGGCGACTCATAATTCTTTGAAGTCTAAACCTGAAGCCCTTTCTTCGACATTTGGTTTTAAAACCACTGCAGCAAAATCTTAATGTTCGTTTTCTTATACATTATTTTTGTCTCGAGGTACTAGGACTTCATAACATAGGTAGAAAATCCAGTATTTTATTAAGACATAAGTACTAAAGTGCTACTAAGTAGTACTATATACAAAGCATGTATTGAACTTCTTACTTAGAAGTAGACTCAACACGAGGCGTCGTAGTTCGATTCTTGAACTAATTGAAATTTATTTCGGTTTTTGATATTGGTACTCCGAGCAGCAACATCAGGCCGGTAATTATTCTCCTCTGTTACTCAGGACCTGCCACTTACCACCACGAAACAAGTGTAAAGGATGTACCAGTTTCTGTAAATTTACCTGTATCTATATTTTCATAGAAAGTGACCGTTATGTTAGAGCAAAGTTAGAATTTTTTGTCCTGTTCACAATTAAATTAAGTTCCCAACCACCAATTCACTTTAGTTATTAAGTTTTATACCCGCTGTGTACAGATGTGTTTCATCAAAAAGAGGTCAGCGGTTCGCGATAAAAAATACATTAAATTGTTTTATGGGGTGCCATTATAATCATTCTTACCCTTTCTTACGCCAGTTTTGGGTAAAAGAGAAACTTAATGTCGAAAAATATAGAACTAAGATTCAGCCATGAACTTCAACCATATTATTTTATTACAATTACCAATGAAATTGTAATAAAAATAGAAATATGGTTACTTTTAACCATATCGTGACAAACATCGAACAAAATGTTTGTTATTAGTAAATATCCTAGCAAAGTGTGGCTCGACTGTCGGAACAAATTATTACTTAAAAATATTACATTACAATTTCTGAGTTTGAGCACGCAACAAAGTAATTTAATTTACGAACCTGTGTTCCGAAGGCTTTGTAGGCTCTATGCGGCACTGCCGAACGCACATTAAAAATTCATATATCTATAAAAAAAATCACAGTAAAAAAAATAAAAATGCAATCCACTGAACACAATCACTTAACCGTCACAATGTTAGGTACACATTAATTTCGAATTTCATGTTTAGTTTCCCATGCGGCCGTCAGGCGGCGCTGCCGTGCGTATCTCACGGCGGTCCTCTACACACTAACGTTAGACTGTGTGATTCGCGCATGCGTCGTTACTCCTACACCCGATACCTACATTTCATTTTGTAATGAACTGAACTTTACTTCGGTGCGTCCGAAAATAGACCTAAAGTTTTTGGTGCATAGAGTTGGATTTTGGTGAGGTTACGAATTAAAGGGTGCGATTCGACTTCGCAGCGTCTTCTGTCTCTCTTCCACTAACGATGTCCACATGCATTTGAATTTTAATTGGGTATATATACGCGTGTGGTTGTACAAAACAGTTTTCAAGTTTTCACGTCAACAAAATGATGTTGAGAAGGCGGTGTGAGAGATGTCTACCAAAAGTGACTGAATGGCTTCTTATTTCTGAATACTTTTCCTTTTTCCTATAATAAGCTTCTTTCTAAGCGCGTGTACATTTTAAACTGGCGTTTTTTTCTTTTTTTGGAGCCCAATTTTCCTTATATTTAGGGGTGGGCCACGAAGGCACCGGTGTCGTGTTCAGGGTAATAATCAAACCAACCCATTACCCCAGTTAAGTTAAAGTTAAGTTAATAATGAACGTGTTTTACGCACGTTTTCCTGACATTGGTTCATAATGTTTGCATGAAATTGGTGTTACAAATATTTTGTAAAAATATGAAACCAAAAAACGTAAGACTATAACGTTAATGTAGTATTGGAAAGCAAAATATGTTACTACTTCATTCGTTGAGTGGGTTTAAGTCTTACTGTGTGCATGGTTTTAACTTCAAGAATAGGTTTATTAAATACTGAAATATATGTACGTTCGCAGTGCCGTGAAATTTATTTCATTTTCGCCCCGAAGTAAGATTGTTTTGTCTTGATAATACAATAGTTTTACAAAGAAATAAAATGTTTAAAACAAAAAATAACTGGTGAACCATTGCAAACACTAAACTTTGAAAGTGCATGCGAACTCATATTACACCACCAGATGGCTTCGTTTTATGTAACATTTCGTTTGGTGATTGAAATGATGAAGAAATTTCTTTTTCCTGAATTTTCTTTCTTATAAACCTCAAGGAGCACGAGACCTTTCTAACGAATGCAAAACTGTATAAATCGGTTGGTGCGTTCTGGAGTTACAGCGTCAGGAAGGAAAATCCGACTTATATTTATATAGAAGATTATCAAAACATCACGCCATATAATTCTCGACGAGATATTTCTAGGCTGGTGGCAAGTGCGATGCGAATAGTGCCTACAAATTTACATCCAGTGTCTCATATGCGAAAGTCAATGAATATTGTGTTTAAATAAATAAAAGACAACTTTATTATTTTACTGCTGATCTTAGATCCCTCCTCACACGGCATCACTTGAAACGGTTGCTCAATGCGAGTTGGCGATTTCAAACTTATAATTAGAAATTATAAGCCCAGATTTCCTCACGATGTTTTCCTTCACCGTTTGTCAGTGGCGTCTAGATAATCTTAGAAAATACATATAACTCGGAAAATTTCACACTAATACTTGCCGTTGATAGGTTTTGTATTGGCACTCTCATGCATAAGAAGCGGACGTCTCAAATCTCCGGGCCACCACGACATTTACACGGGGTACTGTAGATATTCGAAAAATGCCGTGCAGCAGTGCTCTCTGATATACCTGAATCTGTTTTGGGCTGCGATCTCCAACTCCAACCAAGCGTTATTGTAATAATGGCAAAGTCTTATGCCGGTAGAGTTGGTTTGTATAGAGCAGCAAAGTTCTGTTTAAAAAGTTGATAATAGAAGATGATAATTTATCAATTTCTACATTAACTAAAATTGCGGGTTAGTCTCGTGAATATATTGCGCAGTTGCGGCGACGTCGCGCAGCTCACTGTCACCATCGTTGTGGAACCCCTCTGTGGTTCGAAACTAGTAGAGCTTTTCTCAGTATATTTACGTGACGTAACTCGCGATTTTAGTTAATTTAGTATGTCTCGCGATAGTTATTATAATTTCAACATTGTTAAGAAAAATCTTTATGGTTTTTTTATACTTAACTCGAATATTGCAACAATTAATGAACTCCAGACCCCTTGCCTGGCAATCGTAATTGCATTCACACGACCAACCAAGCAATTCTAGTCTTTAATACACTATATTTACGACTGAAAATGTCTTTTGAATCTAGTCACATAATACACCATGTGTTAGCAAATGGTTTCAAGTTCGTATTTTCAGGCAAATGTGACTGTAGTGAAAATAGTTTCATGCATAATAGATGTCTCTGGTCAACTTGTGTTCGTCTTAGGTTTAACTCCTGAATTGGTAATACTAGATACGTAGGTAGTCTAGAAATGTTCTAAGATGTTAGAGCTATAGGCTAAGTTACAGTTAAATTATAGAATGGTTATGTTGATAGGGAAATTTCAATAAAAAAAAATACAAATATCTCTAAATAATACAGCCGCGGTCGTCGTTCAGTGGTTACAAGTGGTTGCATGTCTGCCTTGAAAGAGGTCTCGGTTCTCGGGTCGCGCAAGATATTATTGTTTTTCAGTTTTTCGGAAATGTTTCAGTAATAGTGAGTCTAGTACTGCCCGCTAAATGGATAAGTTTACTCCTTATTAAACTAGCCTGTTACATAATTGACAAAAAATTACGAGTTTCCCACGTAAAGCTCTACTAGTTTCGGGTTACAGATGGACTTTTCCAGCCACTACCGATGCTTGGATATCCATCTTTTTCACGCTGCGTATATGTTCCTATAGCCTAGTCGTGATGTTGCGACGAGTATCCCCGATGTATGTATGTTATTATAAAAACATTGTAACATAATTTATTAAACGTGGGTCCTATAATGATGTACATATGTTTAACATGTGAACCACTGCTTAGATCGTTGCGAATTAATAAGCGTGACCTAGCCAAAAACAAAATCGGTGGAATCGAAGAACCAATTATACATTACCTACTAATTTCAGGCTGCCTCGTTGGCCGAGTGGTCGCAAGTGCGACTGCTGGGCAAGGGGTCTCGGATTCGATTCCCAGGTCGGGAAAAGTATTACTGGGTTGTAAAAAAATCTCAATAGTAGCACGGAGTCTGGAATTGTGTCCGGTATATGGCAATAGACTCACCCCCTATTACATGGGAGTCATAACATAAATAGTGGAAAGTGGGTGTTACATATTACAGTGGCATAATGTGCACCTGTCTCTATCCCTTAGGGGAGTCGCGGAGAACCTAACGGGTTACCGGGGCTCCGGCTCGACGTGCAGGAGAAGGAACGAGTTGGTTTTTAGTCAGTAAGAGTCTGACACTCCCTCGCGCCTCACCCAGGCGGGAGCACTCATTCGATGATTATTCCCCCTTAAAAAAAATCCCTTTGGGAAGAAAAGGCGTGATGTTATGTGTGTGTAATTTCAGATATCTGAACCAAACCCCAGAACTACCACACTCAGAACCACTCAACGAACAGCAAGTCAAACAGGATCAGGAACATACCTACATTATTTTTAATTGAAAATTGTTAAAGCAACCTTTTGAAGTTGTAATACATAACA